ATGAAGTATTATCAGTGGCACAACAAATAAATAAATTAGGACAAGGTAAATAAAAAATTAAAATATCTAGTCAATAATGTTACATTATACTTTACTATATATATTTGTCTTAGCCATTGAAATATTGAATGCCGAATTGCAAAAGCAAGTATTAGCAAATCATGAAGATTTATTGTCACAGGCAACATGGGTTGAGAAATTAGAAGGTGTACTTTCAATAATGCAATCACATGTTCAGGTACACATAAATATATTTGTAAATAATGATTAAATAAAAATTGCTTTTAATAAATAATGTATATTTATATTTCAGAGTCTTTTGTCAGCTGTAGAACGTTTACGTGGAAAAATCATTGATCCATTTAATAGAATTGAAACACAGACAATTGTCTTAGCAAGGCTTCATGAAACTTCTGATTTGTTACGAAGAGTAGCCAGAATGCAACATTTATCAAAACGTTTATATTCTCAAATGACAAATAATGTGCAAGGGCCTGATATTATAAAAGCTGCTAATAGTCTTCATGAACTTGGTACATTGATATATGTTTGATTTTATATTTTAGAATCTGTGAAATATAATATACATTATCTTAACTTGCAGAACAATTAATGATTGATACAGATTTAAATGGATTAGATGTTATTGCCGATGATCAGCAAGCTGTAAAAGCCCATAGAACAACAGTACAAAGAATAGCAACCCATACTTTGTCTCAAGGTTTACAAACAATAGATAGAACAAAAGTATATAACTACATATTGATTTTTAAAATATTATTATTTTTGCCATTATTAATTATGAATTTACAATAAATAGGTTAGTACAGCTGTACAAGTATTTCAAAATTTAGGAATTGTAAATGGAGCTGTAGATAATGTTATAGATTCTGCTTTATTAGAAATTGAAAAAATTGCTACAGAATCACTGGATGTAACTTTAGCACCAAATCAAGATCTTGGAAAAAGAGCAGCACCTGGACGGGCTGCTATTCCTTCCCTAGGATCTTCTGGAAATTTACGTACACGAATTTGGGAAAATCTTGAAAGACTTTTTCAAGATACTCTCTATACACATTGTTTACAAGTAATTCAAAAATATTTGTATCATATCCTTAAATCTATTTGCTCACAGGAAAACTTACATTTTCAACTGTATTACTTATTATTCTAGATTGAATTATTACAAAGAATACTATTAGAGCATCATACAAAAGGATTGGATGAATTGTCACAGAAATTTTGGGATAAAGTAAATTCTCTACTTTCAAAAGTATTAATTGAACGTGCACAAGGTAAAGATTAATTACATTCTGTTTTCCATAATGTTAAATGTGTGTATATTTTTAGGATCTTCATTCGTAAAACAAGCATTAGAAGGCGAATATCCAAAATTTTTGAGAATATTCTTAGATTTAAGTAAACGATTAAAGGAAAGATCGCAAAGTATTGGCATTTACAACATTAAGTAAATACAAAGATGTTTAATGGAATCAAGTAGTTGACTGTATCTGATATTAATAACATTTATTTTTTTTTTAGTCATAATGTATTGTTCCCATTTGAGAATGCATATTTGTCACGTTCAGTATCACGTTTGTTAGATCCAGTGCACACTATGTTTTCTGGAGAAGGATTACCCACACCAGATGAAATTGATAGTCTCATACGCACAGTAACAAAGTAAATCAGTAAAACATATATTATATATACCATTTCTTATTGTTCTGTATTGATTAGCAATTATTATTTTGTTTGCAGTGAATTAAGTGTGTCATTGGTTGATGATGGTCTTTCAACAGTAGTGGCCCGTAATGTAGGAAAAGCTGTAAGACTTTTCTGTTTGAAATGTGAACAGGGATTACTTGTGAGTGGAGAAGCTAGTCAAGTAATTGATTCTCCTACCACTGTTCAACAGACAAACGTATCCCTTGCAAACCTATTATATTATCTTTCTAATCAAATAAGTCGTGTAATAGCCAACTTGTATGGTTTACCATCTGAAGGAAGTGCAGTCATTTCTGTAGCTCTTAAGGAAATAGATGTTTTGACAAACAATATGTTAGCACCGTTATTAGCATCTATTAATGATGCGATTGAAAGCATTATTTTAACTATGCACGATGATGCAGAATTTCGAGAGTAAGTAAATAAAATGTTTTTACGCTTGATTGAAATATATATACGGAAAATAGATACATATATTTGTATTCTTTCTTTTATAGTCCAAGCAGTCCTATAGGAAAAGAAATTAACTGCTCACTTTATATGCGTGAATTACAAGGATTTATTTTACGTTCTGTAAATACATTTCTTATACCATATAAAAATCAAGCAGTAGTTGCTGAATGGTAATCAACAACATAATTATAATTTATATATAATATTTGTAACGTAATAGTTAAATCGATCGTTATTTTAGTTGTAAGTCTGTTGCTTCACGATGCATTCAACTGTTTGTAAGACACGCTGTCTTACTGAGACCATTAACTGATTTTGGAAGAGCAAAGCTTATTGTTGATTTTAATCAAGTATGTTACAATATATTAAATACAACTTCCTGTTTATATTTACTTCTATTTGTTTCCATTTTTATTCAGATAGAAGTGGCAGTTGCTCCATTATGTAGAGGAGGACAATTAGGATCATCAGAACAACAACAGTATAGAACATTACGGGCACTAAAAGCATTGCTTCCACTTAGTCCTGATGAAATTGTTGAGAAAGTTTTAGAAGGGGAAAGAGAATGTGGCATACCTCATTCCCTTGTCCTTTTATATTTATTTTCTAGAGCACCACCCGAATTAGTTTCACCGCATCAGGTATGACAATATACATTTACATTATTATTTTTGAATGACACAGAATTATCATGTATTTAAAAATTTTTTGTTTCTTACTAATCTGTGAAATATCTTTAATATAGAGTGCAAGTTGGTCTGTAAGTCGATTATCTCAATGGATGGATAAAAATCCAAATGAAAGAGATAGATTAACATTTTGTAGCGGACCACTAGAACGTTATCAGTTAACAATCAGACAACAGAATCTTCCATCATTCCACCCATTATTTCCATTAATGAAAAAATTAGCAAATTTAAATGAACAATAAAAATTTGTAATGTTCATGCTATATAAAATGTATGTATGCTGTGAACCATTTTTCACGTTTATAAAAAATATTAGATTTCATATTTACAAAAAATAATTTATTGACAAAATTTACAAAAGAGATAAACTTAGAAAAGCCAATGTATAAATGTTACAAACAAATGGAATCGTATTTTTAATGACATATTAATTTCGAAATGAATATTTTCTTAGATACACATATTCCTATAATTAGTGTAATGCTTAAGAACATAGGCCAATTTATTCGATGTTTCTTTGAATCAATATATGTTGCTGGTACACCAATGTCATTTTCTTTCTGAATCTGCATTCAAAAATGTGTTTTAATATTTAATTTGTAATGTGCATTTGTTATAAAATATTTTTTTACCTACCACTTTGGAAAGCACTTTTATTTGCAGAAGTTCTTCTTTAAGAATATTGAGAGTTTTTTGCGTTTTTTTAACTTCATGTTCATAGTTAGATATTTGTTCTTCAGTTAAGTGCATATTCTCTTTATTATTTGCTTTTATTAAGTTGTTTTTAATGTAATGAAAACTAGAACCAATAATAGTAATTTGTTTGGCTATTGTACCTAAAGAAATTATGGCATCATATAAACTGAAAAAAAAATATAAAATGAAATTTTTATCATTTAGTTTGATAAAATAGTAATATTATAAAATAAACATACGTATAAGGCAATGATTTCTTGATAGTACCAATACTTTGTATATTCCACTTTTTCCTATGAAATCTATGAAGGTGCTCCATAAACTGGATTCTGTGTGCATTAATATCTACTCCTAAATGGTATAAGTCGTTTTCAGTTAATTTTAAAAATGTTTTAAGATTCATCCCTTGAAAGATATGACTATATTTTTCTAAATTCATTCCATATAAAATTGTATGTATATCAAAATCTATAGTTTGATCATTTATATAACTTAATACTGGAAACATATCTTTCCAATCACACATTTTATCTACTTCACAAGTATTTATTATTTCTTCTTCATTGAAATGTAGTAATGATAAAATCTGTAACAATTATATTAACATTATTTTATGTTGTATAATAAGGTTTTAACATTTTAACTTACTTTATCATATCCTTTCATAAAAGCAATATCAATTGCTGTTAAATCATTGCAATCAGTTAATGTAACATCAACTGCATTTTCCATTAGTATTTTAACTATTTCTGGTCTGTTAGCTATTGTTGCATACATCAAAGGCTGTAAAGAAAATATTTCTTATTTTATTGTCATTATCAAAGACTACAATTAACATTACCAAAACGCTTACAGTTTGTTTTCTATTGTCACATGAGTTAATGTTTTTCACATGTTTTATTAGTTCTGTTACAAATTCTGGTTCTTGTGATATACAAGCATACATTAGAGATGTCTGTCTATAAGAACATTATTTAGCAAGTTATTGAAATATTTAAAACATTAGTGTAATGTCAAAAAATACCTTTGATTATTGCTTGTATTTACATTTGATTCTGCCTGAATTAATAATATTAAACACTTCATACGTTCCTCTGTTGTATTTTTAGTAGAATTACATAATGCCATTAATGGTGTATAGCCATCTAAAATGTGATATTATTTTAAATAATTTGAAAAAGTATGTAATAGAAAATATAGAATAAATAGAATACCTTTATGTTTATTAACATCAGCTCCATTTTTTATAAGATATTCAATGACTTCTATTTCTACATTTGAAGCAGCATATAAAAGTGGAGTCCATCCAGTATATAAAAAATTATTGACATTATGTGCTGTACATATAATTACATAAAATTCTTAGTAAAATATATTTTTGTCTTTAAAACAAAAAAAAAATAATATGGTTTATTAATAAAAAATAATTACAGTCAATATATTTGTGAATAACTTCTAACTGGCCCATTATACATGCATTTATTACATGGTATTCAATGATTTGTTCTTCATTAACATCCATACCTTTGTATTGGTCGAATCTATTCATATTTTTTAATACTAAACTGCTTTGTACACAATAACTATCTATTTCTATATCCTATGCAAAATATAACGAAATTGTGAAACTATTCTTAATAATTAGAGTTTTATTTCAAATTGAAGTGTTTCATTTAATTAGCATTTAACAATTACAATTTCATTTGTCTACTTCAAACATGTTTTTAAAAATATTTATTATTGTTACTATTTAGTCAAGTAATAAAATACCGGTTGAATAGTATAGGTTATATACGCGTATTTTTTACACCTTTTCTTCTAAAGACAAATCATCGTCACTTTCCAACTCGTTATCATATATTCCAATAATTCTAACATACATATTGTTTAATAATACATTAAATTAGCATATCTTGCTTCTAAAAAATTAAATTTTAAAATGTTTTATATTTTCTACCGCGCATTCCATGTAAAGTATGTGTATGATATGTCTCTGTTTATAAAATTTGACAACAATGGAGAAAATATTACTAGCATTGAAAATATGAAAGCATATACAGAAAGAATAAGAAAAAATCTTAAAAATTCTTTAAAACATTATTTTACAATGTATT